ACTTTTTTAAATATGGGCTAGGAGGGTGAGAGCTGCCATGTGGCCACCTTTATCCTGTTTAACTTCCTGATCTGGTTGTTTCCCATTGCATCTCTGGGAAGCCTTGGTTCTTTGTTTATTCCACCCATTGTTGGTCGGGTGATGTCTTTGTTGGGATGGTTGGGGGTAATGTCAATTGCTTGTGAACTAATTGACTTGTTTGTACCCCCAGCGATCATTCATGGAATGTCCTTTTTGTATTCAATACAGTCCAGTTATTGGTTCACCTTCCTGCTGGCTGGGTCGTTCCTGTTAGGCCTGGTCATGGGCAGAACAGGAGCCCAGAGCAGGGCACAGGGAACTTACAGGAACCAGTCCACAGCGATGATCAGCGTGATGTCCTCGGTGGGCAGCCCCACGGAGGTGAGCACGATCACCATGGTCACCAGCCCTGCCTGGGGGATCCCATGCTGGCTGCCGTGGCCGTGATGCTGGGGAGCAGGAAAGCACACACATCAGCAACGGGAGGAGAAGAGGTGGCTGCATTTGCAAAAGTGCCAGGAAGGAGCTCAAACTCATCCACAAAACACCTTGGCTGCCTTTCTGCCAAGCCAGATGGTGACACGTTGGCCATCGACACAGCTCCTCCCTGCCAGGCACCCACCCATAACAGACTGCACACTGCAGCTCCAGCTGAGGGATGGCCCACGTCTGGAAATGCAATGAGGGCTCCAGTGGAGCCTCAAAGACACGGTGCCCAGATCATACATCACAGCTGGAGGTGTAGTACACCTCTCTTTTCCATACTTTTTCTCATTGTATCTTCTGCAAAAAGAGGAACGTGACCACACCTCAGCCATGCCAACAAAACTGTAGTCCCAAAACTCTTTCAAAATTCACCTTATTGTGATGATCTGCCCGAAGTCAAGTTCATAGTTGTTGACTTGTGCAATGAAGATGGCTGCAAGGGCCTCGTACAGAGCAGTGCCATCCATGTTAATTGTAGCTCCCACTGGCAGGACAAACCTCGTGATGCGTCTGTCCACACCATTGTTTTCTTCCAAGCACCTGAAGGTGATGGGCAGAGTGGCTGAGCTGAAAGGAACGTACAAAACAACATGAATTTGGTATAAGCAGACTTTGGAAGAGGGGCTGAGCCTCTGCCTGGTTTATGACCTTACCCACCTGCTTTTTCACCCTGCCATTTGAGCCAGAGGCCAGAAGCTGCTAGGAGAAAGAACAGTCTAAGAAAGGCTTCCTCAGATATGGTGCAGCTGCAGTTGTACATTCAGACATTTCCTCAGGGGGCTTGGGCAGGGGCTGTGTAACCCTGAGGATGCTGATGCTGGTATAACACCAAAAGAAGGTGATGCTGGAGGATTGAGGATACAAAGGACAGAGCCTCAAGACTAGAACTCCATTTCCAGCTATTAAAAATCCTTGAGCCCTTTCTCACCCTCCTCAGTGCATAAGACAAGTTTAACCCATATGTGTGACTATATCTTGCAGAGAAAGCAGAGAGAATTGTTTCTGAAAGAGAACAGGAGCAGGAAAAATGCTGTGTTTCAGTGTGGGAATGCACGTGGGAGAGACCAGTGCTTGCCAGGAGAGGAATATAGGCAGAGCCAAGGCACCTAGTGAAACAACAGCTCCCTACAGTCCCTCACTTTGGGGGTGTTGAGTGGCAGTGTGTCACAGAACATAGGGGTGTTTGTGCCTTTTCCCAGACCCCTGGTGAGCTCAGTGCCAGCTGCAAACAGCACCTGAGCCTGGAGGGAAGCAGCCAACGTGTGAGCACAAGTGTGTGAGAGGAACGTGCACGTGGAATAACGCTGCAGGTCAGGGGAGCTGATATCTGCCCTGAGATCAGCGTGTCAGTGCTGCAAGCAGAGTCACCACCAGGTGTGGGAAGGAGGAATATGGGCTGTGCACTGGTGGCTGGAGGTGGCCACATGATTTGGGCTCCTGAGCAGGGGAGTGGGAATGTTTCCACTCTCAAATGAGCTTGGGGGGACCGGTGCAAAAACCTGCTAGTCCTCGAAACAGTGAGACCACGGTGCTGCACTGGGGGCAATGGAGTGCTGGATTAGCCCCAGAGCATCCACACCAGCCCCAGAGCATCCACACCAGCCCCAGAGCATCCACACCAGCCCCAACCCTGCTCCTGTGCAGCCGTCATACCTTGAGGAGGTGCCCAGGGCTGTGATGAGGGCCTGCAGAAGGCCTGCAATGAACACCCAGGGGTTTCTGTGCGTGACGATGAAGTAGAGCAGGGGCAGGATGCAGAGGGCGTGGATGAGGAGGCCGACGATGACGGTGAGCGTGTACATCCCCAGCTGGCCTCCCATCACTGCCAGGTCATCCATCTCCAGGATTTTGCCAGCAATTAAAAACATGATCCCAACTGGAGCATACCTGTGGCAGGAACACACGGCCGGTGCTCAGTACTGGCACCCACACTTTCACACCACTTTCATGCATGCTTCCTGGACAAATCCCCAATAAGCCAGCACACCAGAAGTGCTCCCTTAGCCTAATAGTTGCATGGTATTGCTGGTTTGGGTTTTTTTTCCCTCTGGAAATCTGGAGAGAGCTGGGTCCATGGTTCATTACATGGTCCATGGTTCATTACATGGTCCAAAAGCAACTCTTGCTGCACTGTTGCTAACCCAGGCACTCTGTTCTGTGCACAGCTTGGGCACTGGTGGAGGTTTCTTCCTCCTTCTGGGTTTTTCACAACACCCCTTATAGAATTGATAGGGGAGCTCATGTAAAGGAGTCTCCAGAGTCCCTTTCCTTCCTAACAGAGCTTGGGCTCAGGGTATCTTTTTTTACTGAGAGGCACAGGGAAGTTCAGGAGAAACAGGGAATTGGGGAGTAAAAGCAACAGTGTCCTATAGGACATATCAGCCTTGCTGTCTTAAAACATTCACATTTAGGGAACAGGAACATCTTATGCAGCCATGGATTATATACATGGATTCTGAGGTACACTGCTATCCTCTTCCATTCCTCAGGGCTTTTTATCTCCTCCATAACAATGCATCTCATGAGCAACAGTGAGGCTCCCCAGGAAGGAAGCCATAACAGACGTGGAGAATGTCACGGGCACTAAACTAAACATGGACAAATAGCTGGACCAAAGAAAATCCCAACTCCATGGCCACACCCCTCAGGGCAAGGCCTCCACAGCTCAAGAGCTCACATGCAGTTCATGCACAAGGCTCAGAGGTCCACATGCCAAACTCCAACTCAGCTTGGGAGGTTTGGAAAAGTTTCAGGAAAGGATTTCACAAGTATTTCATTTCCTCTGACCTTCCTCCTAGAAGACATCCTTGGCTGCATCTCGTGACCAAACCTCCCCAGGAAAAACAAGGGCCTGGGAGATGCTCTGCAGAGTGTAGCTTCAGGAAGGAGTGCTGGGCTGCAGCTGACAGTCCTGCCTCCAACGCCAGCAGGATTTTGTAAGCCAGGAGGTCTCCCCAGACACTCCCTGCTGTATGGGCACGGGCAGTTTGCTGGGGGTAACCAATGTCCTGTGCATCAGCACTCTGCCACCTTCCCATGTAAGGGGGAGCTGAAGGACAGGGCGTTGAGGGCACCTTGAAATTGTCTCTGGGAGTAGTGTGCAGGTCTGCGTGCTCCACTGTGCTCATGCTCTCCTGTCTGTGCCTTCAGGCAACTCTTGGCTATTCTTAGGAAAGCAAGGCCCCAAGTTCTGGCTCATCCATGGGGGAAAAGATCCCAGAGGGGCTGGGGCTGAGTTCAGATTTGTTCCACCCCTTTGTGTCTTTCTGTGTGAGGCCTGTCCCCCTGGGCTCTGAGGTACAGGACTGTGACTGGGGACACAGAAAGAATCTGGAGTGTTCTAAAATGGGAGCGGGTGCAGGGCTGACAGATCCCTTCCCTGTCAGACATCTCCACTCTGCCAGCCCTGCAGCTCTCCTCTTTAGTGGTACCTACCACAAACTGAACTTGAGCCCTAGAGGAGTAAAGAGCTTAAAATAACAAAATCTGGCAAAATGTTGCCTTCTAGAGAAGATCTGTCTCAGCAATGCCTTGCTTATCTGGACCATGTAGCACAGGCAGCCTTACACAGAAAGCAACAAAGAGCTGAGCTCCAGAGAAGCTGGGATCTGGGAGACCTCAGACTGAAGGACGGTAACTTTGAGCTGACCTTGTCAACCCAGCTCAGCTCTACAGGTGCCACCCTGAGGAGCAGGAAAGTGGCAGTAGGTTATTATGATTCATATCTTAGTCAGACTCCTGGAACATAGCTGGAAGGAAAGCTTTTGGTGGGAAAGCCTCACACCCTACCCCTGTTGGTAAGGCTAAGAGATCTTCCACTCCAGCTCTCTGGTCTTCCAAGGATGTTTCCAGCAGCCTCAAGGAAAGCAAGTCCTGGTGTACCTGCTATTTCTAAGGTAAAAACAAAAAACAGGAAATGAAATGTGAACAAATATCCCATCCAGACTTTTCCCTCCAGCCTGATGGAGCCGAAGGAGAGCTGTGCCCATCTGCTTGTCCTGTGTATGTCACCCTGACAGCTGCCCTACTCCTCATCAGGAAACTGCACCTGCAGACCTGCTGCTCCAACCGGCCGTGCTCCTCACCAGATGATAATGGCCACCAGCCTCATGATGGCTTCGTTGAGGCAGTTAAAGAACTCCCGCAGGGCCCGTCCCTTCTGCTTCATGCTGCCGATCACCAAGCCGAAGCACATGGAGAACACTACCAGCCCCAGCGCGTTCACCCCACTGGCCGAGCCCGGGATGGGAATGACTTCTTCAAAGCTCAGCACCTCGGAGACGCTCTCCAGGGCATGGGTGATGTTCTCCAGCATGCTGGTGAAGTTCTCAGGCGCGGGGATCTGGGTGGTTGTCACGTCTGCTGTGACGTTGCTGCTGCGGAGGACGGTTCTGGTGAAGACCCTGGTGCTGTACTGCGTCTTGTACTGAAAAGACACAGATTGTCAGGTGCACTCCCAGGCCCTGGGGCAGGAGCTCAGGGCAACATGCTGGGCTCTTGAACCCCCTCCTAAAGACTGAGAGGACTGCATGGTCCTACTGGCCTACGTGGGAAACTCGCCCTGCCTGTTCTCAGGCTCCCTAGCCTAGTGCTATCCTCGAGAAGTTCTGAAAGTTGGAGGCCATTGGAGCATCTCATATTTCTCAGACAGAGATATTCTGCCTTCTCTGATAACCCTTTATGCTGCTTCCAAGGGCACCAGCACTACAGAGGAGGCAAATCCTTGGAGAATCTGCTTCCATGTCGCCGCCAGTCCAAGGCTGCTCCCTGAAATCACACAAACCCTGCTGACCCTGAGTGTGGGGTGGGGCGGAGGCTGAAGCCCCCATCTCCAGGCAGCTTGAGCAGCTTGTGTGGGGATGCTGTAATGCAGGCTGATGACTGCAGTGCCTCCTGGAGCAGCCCAGTGTGGGGAGGTGTGAAGGCAGCATAAAGTAACTTCTGCTCCATCCCTCTGAGAAGGAGGCTGGGCCATGGTCTAGGGCACAGGGCTCAAAGGAAGTGATGGGCCAGGTGGGGTTTCATACCTGTTTGAAGCAGGCTTCTACCAGGTTGGGTGGGAACATATTCCTGCAGTAGATAAAACAAGGGAAGGGTTATTGTCCTGCAATAAAACAACCAAGAAATCATGGGCTTTCTGGGAAAGACCTCTGTCCAGGACCAGTGCCTCAGGCCACAGCTCTCACCATGCCAGCTCAGGCTGTGGAGCAGATGGGCCTTTCTGTCTGACTGACAGAAGGTGGGAATATGCTGATCTGGAGCCAGTCCCCCTCTTGCATCTCTTCAGACTCTGAAAGGTTGTATTTCAGGTATGTGGAAACAGGCTACACACATAGAGCACTGGGATATGGATTCATTGTAAAAGCATCACCACACCCAAACAAGCCCTGAAGCAATACCATATTACAGTGTCTGACATACTGCCTTGCTCACAGCCCCATCTCTGCAGCTGTCCTTTGAGCTCTCTGTTCTCTCATACCTCAGAACACAGCTTCATACCACTTGAGAAGGTACAGCTTTGCAACTCGTGCAAGATCACAGCAAGGGACCTTACAGCAAGGGAGGGAGAGACAATGACTTGGGAACCACTTCCTTGATCTCCTTGGGTCAGTGAAGATGGATATTTGGAGTGACCTTTGCTGAGTGAATTTCTGAAGGGCATGCACTCATTGATAGTTTTCATCACTTGTTTTGCTAAGCACACCTTGGCCTCTTGCATTAATACCTCTGACAGAAGGGCTGGACTCCAGAGCTCCAGGTGGAGCATTCAGTCTCAGAGTGGGAAAGCCAGACAGCTAGACTCAGCTAGAAGTAGTAGGCTGGGCAAGACTCAATTTATTGAGTCTTTATTGCCCATAAACCAATTTGCCCAAGAGTGTATCCCTGAAGCTGTGACATTTCAAATGGACATTCCATGGAGGAATGTCATCTCACTGATATGGTCTCCACATGAGACCCTCTTGGTCACCTACCTCACCAAGTCCATGAAGGCATCTGTGGTCTGCACCTGCTCGATTCTGCCTTCTCGGTGAAGCTTGTCCTTAGACCCTTTTCCTGGGTGGATGATGATCACCATGAGGATACCAATGAAGACTGCTATGATGGTGGTCACCGTGTAGTAGACAACAGCACGCATCCCCATCTTCCCTGAGGCTCTGCCATCCAGTGAGGCCATTCCTGGGGAGTCACACAGAAAGACCAGGTGAGGTCTATTGTCTGAGAGGGAAGGAGGAAGTCCAAGGAAGATTCAAAGTGTGCAGGGTGCATGTCTGAGCTGGATGAGCAGCTGGGGTCTCTAGGAAGGTAATGTTGATATGGGGGAATGTGGCTATGAGAAGCATAGCACTGCTTAGGTTCTAGACTGCATTTGGGAATATAGCAATTTCCTTTGAAAGGTCTCAGGAGGAAAATAATCCCCTCTGGGAACACTGAGTGTCCCTAATGATGGGATGTTTCAGCAGGTGGAATGCCTTGCAGTCCCTTCCACTGTCTGAAAGTTTGGATGGCTGGTATGTTGTCTGTGTGGGCCTGGATAAAACAAGCTCTCCAGCTGGTGACCAGCTCCAGGTCTTTTGGACTGACAGGAATTAACCTTCCCTGGGCTGGATGAAACCTGAAGCTTGATGTGGGCAACAAACTTGTTGACGTTTGAGGTTATACAGGATGAAGTCCTTGTTGGTGCTCAACACTTGGGCATTGGAAACACCATATTGTGTCCTCTCCAGTCTTCTGAGAAAGCATAAGGCCTTCTGCTTCTCTTACCAGCAGAAGTACCAGTGTGAATCATGTTTGTTACAGCTGTAGGTGCAGGCTTATACTATTAGCTGAGCACCTCTACCTGGGGCACACAGGGGTCCTCCAACAACAGCCAGCATTTGTCTTTGCTGATTGTTGCCTTGGCTGAAAGCAGCAGAAAACATTTCTCACCTGTAATCAAGCTAGAGACAATGAGAGGAAGAACCAACATCTGGAGCATACGCATCAGCAGCTCTCCAGGGAAGGAGAAATACTTGATCTGGCGATAGGTCAGCTGGTAGGGCCGGAGGGAAAACGCCAGGATGATCCCTGTGGAGCAGCAAAGGATGAGAATGGAACTGGGACAGTGTGATCCAGTGGTCTGTCCCTCAGTCCTGCAGCATGGCTTTTCTCTCTCTCATCTCCTTTCAGCTGCTCCTCTCCCCAAAGGAGTAAATGCTCTTTTTCTACACGGCTATGATCCAGTTTTGCTGGAGGTTCTCTCTCTCCCTCTGACATATTTATATGCACAAGAGCCTCGTGCCAAACCCTGGGTCTCCTTTTTGCTCTGTCTGCTGCTCCTCTGTGGCCTGTTCCCAGGAAGCTCATGAACACAAAAATGCTGTGACCAGAGATATGATCTCCCAGCCTGAGTGTGACTACACAGTTCAGAGACTTTGTCCACCCACTTTTTCACACTGAGTTCAGCCAGTGGGTTAGGGACATATAGCCTGGATCAAAAGCCAGGGACAACCTGCCACCTGCTGTGCAGGTTTAGTCTGTGTGGAATCACAGCCCTTTGCATCCATTGCTCCTCCTGGGCCTGCCAGGCTGGAGCTGTGGGATGAACCTGAAGAGCCCGTGTGCCTGTAGCTGCACTCACAAGAAGCCTCTGACCAAACTAGGATGACTTTTTATGAGGACTGGTGGAACTGGATTGTTGGTAGAACAGAATCCTTTCTGTCATAGCCTGTTCCTGAGCTGCAGCCAGAAAGGATCAGCAAGGACTCCCTCACGCCCTGCTCTCTACAAAGGTACTCGTGATGCGCACAGCGCTCGGAGCCGTCAGCTCCCCGGCTTCCCTCCCCCAGCCCAAGTAAAATCCTCCTGGAACCACCAGACGCTTCCCCACGTGTACAGCGGTGCCCGGTGCCGCCGGCCCCTACCTAGCAGGACGGCGGCGATGGTGAGGAGGACGAAGGCGTTCCTCCTGAGGAAGCTCCTGGCGCTGTCGGCGGTGATGCTGCTCATCCGCTTCTTGGCCCGCGCCGCCCGGCGCTGCAGG